GACATCACCAAGTAAATGTCATTCGCTTAAGGTGTAACTTAAAATTGTACTCAGGGGTAATGAGATCTTTGGAAAATAGAAAGGTTAAGAAATCTTTGAGAAATAAGCCCAAAACATGACAATATCATTCATTCTGGTCAGTAAAATTAACAGATTTGTATTTCAATACTGATTCCACATAGATGGCAACCCATTCCTCTTGCCTTTAATAGAAGATAAACACATACACTGAGGCCCAATATTGCAAAATGAGCAACCTGGCATTTAGCCTGGCATTGATCTCTACACTAGGAGACACACAGTTGAAATACCATTCACCAGGCAGGGCCCAATGAAGGTTTCAACTGTATCCTAAACACAATTTTTTGGAAAGAAAATGCTTAATGCAGACATCTACATGGTAAAGTGTTTTATTTTGTCTCCAAAGTTTTCTTTTTCAGTAAGCCCTAGGTCTTTAAAGTTCTATTATTTTTATATCATTGAAAAAGCGCGTGTTTTTTACCTCAGTTGTATTTACCCATCAGCACGACAACAATTCACCAATTAGCAAGGAGTTACACAGCAGGAAATTGCAGCAGTGACGAACTTACACTCTTTGATAAATAAGTAGGTAAGAGTCAGTATGACGGTGTGGCCGCTGTACAGGTAGTCGCCGCACATGTTGTGGGATCCCGTGATGGACAATCCTCCGCCAGCAAGCAGCTTCATTATCCTTCGCAGATGAGATTCCCAGTCTCCAAAAAGCTGACAGAAGAGCAAAACACAAAAGGACAGTAAAATACCAGCGTTAACCTTTCAGAATTTAAAGCAGTGGCGTTAGCCAGGAACTCTGCCTTTCAGTTGCTCTCTCTTTTTGCTTCGATACACAAGATCGATCGGTAAATCCACAGCCCTTTTCAGGAGTTAGCAGCACATTTCTGCAGGGGAAAAAATACTGGAAATGAGACAGAAGTTTAACTTTTTTATCGATGCTTTGCATCTATTATAGCGAGCGTTCATGTGCACCTCCATCCACCTGCCTAAAATACTATTTGAAGTATTCAATGTATGAAGAATCAAGGAAATCATTACAATATCCTCATAAGTACAATATCCCAAAGGACTACTCTTTTTTGCTACACTCACAATACAGATTGAAAAGGCGTAGAAAAAAAAGACAATTTTATTTACACACGTGTGTATGTGAGTAAAACCCTTTGCACCAGGTCACCTCCAGTTGCCATGAAAAACGCGGCATCTTTTTCAGTACAACACCAAAGCAAAAAAAAGGGTCAAAAGTTGTTAAACTCCAATCTGTGGCTACACTTACGGTAAAACAGGTAGGTGAGCAAAAATTGTTTTCTATTTCTAAGCAGTTATTGCTGCTACTGTGCAAAGGCGTGATCTTTCTCCCAGGTCTCGCTGGCAGCCTTTGCTGATTTCTGTGGCGGTGCAGGAAAACAGCTTTTAGTGGGAATCTTCAAGCAGAGCTAATGGATTTAGATCTTTATTTATTATATCTTTGCACTGAGTTATACAATGGGCATATACACACACACACACGAACCTCACACACATTCAGTGACTAATACTGACTCTTGGAAAACCTACGACTTCTGTAATACAGTCTCAATAAATCAGCTTCACCAATAACAAGGAATTAAAAATACTTCCAGTTACATCTAGAGTTTTTTTCTCTAAACATCTGGTTTTCCTTCTGTTCAAGAGGCAATGCACCCTAAAATAAATCAAATTTAATTTATCTCGTTTCTAACAGTGCAGGCCCTACAGATCACAATGTGACAGAAAACAGGATGAACTGCCCAAGCCGTATGCCCCGCTGCTGAAACCCAGATGCAACGCACAGAAGCAAGTATCTCCCTCCAAATTCTAAGGCCTCTCTGCAAAATTGCTTCTTTCCACTTAACATTACAAAAGAAACATATGTGGTGTTTGTCAGAGCACGGTGCCAAGCCTCTGTGTTCAACTCTGGAGTATCCAACACAAGAAGGACGTGGAGCTGTTGGAGTGGGCCCAGAGGAAGCCACAAAGATGACCAGAGGGCTGGAGCACCTCCCTGTGAGGACAGGCTAAGGGAGTCAGGGTTGTACAGCCTGGAGAAGAGAAGGCTCTGGGAAGACCTTACAGCAGCCTTCCAGTTCCTGAAGGGGCCTGCAGGAAAGCTGGGGAGAGACTTTTCACAAGGGCATGGAGTGACAGGACAAGGGGCAATGACTTTGAACTAGAAGAGGGAAGGTTTAGATTAGACATTAGGAAGAAATTCCTCACTGTGAGGGTGGTGAGACACTGGCCCAGGTTGCCCAGGGAAGCTGTGGATGCCCCCTCCCTGGCAGTGTTCAAGGCCAGGTTGGATGGGGCTTTGGGCAACCTGGGCTGGTGGAGGTGTCCCTGCCCATGGCAGGGGTTGGACTGGAGGAGCTTTAAGGTCCCTTCCAAACCAAACCATTCTGATATTCTACAGTTCTGCATTGGCTTTAACTCGCACAAGCAATGGGGACAACCCTCCACACCCGATGGATTTGCTCTGACCCAGTTCAGTTTGCCTTAGGAAAGCCAAATCGAAGCAAACCGAAGTCCTTCTGGTGAGAGCGTCCCTCTCTTTCCTCCCAGCTGGCCAAAGGGTAGCTGGCACCATCCCAAGACTTTACTTTTGCTGCTCCCAGCTCTCAAACAAGCCCAAACGTTAAATAAATCTGCAAAGGAAAAAACGGGCGCTGTGGGAGAAGCACAACCAGGATGTACTGAGCACCCCAGGGACCCAACAGAGAGCAGAAACTGCCCGAATTCAAAGGAGCACAACCAACGGACCAACGCACGTGACTACATGTACCGCATCCTTACCTCATTTTAGGAAGTTTTAAAATCCATGGTAGCCATTTAACAGTCAGAAGGAAACACAGATCCCCCTGGCTGACCATTATAGGCACCTTTTCCTTTTATTTTAAAGCTCAGTCTTGCTTTAAGAAGTGGAAATTAATAATTTTTGACAGATTTACACCGGGTCTTAGCAGCAATTAAACATTTCCTGCTAGCAGTTCTTACAAAACACTTAACTGTTCCCCAAAGCCCACTCTTACAATCATATATAAACTCTCAACACCTTATTGAGTTATTTTTTTCCCCACCAGTATATTTATAGCTTTCAGAAAAGCCCAGCTAATCTCTAGACTTATCAAGGCAACAGAAGAGCACAACATGGGCCTGTCTTTACTTAAGTAATGAGACAGATTTGCCAACGCTGTAAATTTCCCCAAATGGCAGATTTACTCACTTCAGCCCATAAATACCTGTGTTCTTTCTTGTATAATTCCATAATGACTGACTGATCAAATACAATGTTGACTCCTCTCCCACTCGCTTCTCTTGCCAAAAGCCCTTGGTCCCTCAAAAAGCCACACGTGGCTTGGCAAACACTCTGCCTCGTCAAACAACCCGTGCTGTACATTCCTTGGCTTGATTTCCCTGAGGAACCGAAGCGTTTCAGCTTTGTACATCTCAGCAACCCCCTCTGAAACAGCAACAGCACACACATAGAGTTGAATCAGGAGCCTGACTTCTGATTTTCCTACCTGTCATCTCACTCACAGCTGTGCACACAAATCAGCTGAAATGTGTGTGCAGCAGGTATTTCACAGAAACTACTTTTTTTTTTACCCTCATTTCTCCTGCTTAAACCAAGTTATAGCACAACCAACCCCCGGAGGGGCATTGCAATGAACTGCTATGGAGAAAAAGCACTTGTGTGCTCAAGGCCAGGCTGGATGGGGCTTTGAGCAACCTGGGCTGGTGGAGGTGTCCCTGCTCATGGCAGGGGGGTTGGACTGGAGGAGCTTTAAGGTCCCTTCCAACCCAAACCATTCTGTGATATGCACCTTGTTTCCTTCTGTAAAAGCCCAGTCTGTATTAGAGTGCATTTCCCTACCAGCAACAGCGTGTTGCAGTAAGGACTGTTAACCCAATGCCTGTGTGATATGAGATGGACACACCACCACTGTCCCTGTCTCATCTCTACCTCAAGCCTGCACAGATTCATAGAATCACAGAATCATTAAGGTCCGAAAAAACCTCTAAGATCATCAAGTCCAACCGTCAGCCCAGCTCCACCGTGCACACTAAACCATGGCTCGCAGAGTCTCGTCCACACACTTTTCAAATGCCTCCAGGGATAAATATTTAAAGGGTGAGTGTCACGAGGATGGAGCCAGGCTCTTCTCGGTGACAAACAATGATAGGACAAGGGGTAATGGGCACAAACTGGAACACAGGAGGTTCCACTGAAATTTGAGAAGAAACTTCTTCTCAGTGAGGGTGCCAGAGCCCTGGCCCAGGCTGCCCAGAGAGGTTGTGGAGTCTCCTTCTCTGCAGACATTCAAAACCCGCCTGGACGCCTTCCTGTGTAACCGGTGTTCCTGCTCCGGCAGGGGGATTGGACTGGATGAGCTTTGGAGGTCCCTTCCAATCCCTCACGTTCTGGGATTCTGTGATTCTGTGATTGTGACTCCATCACCTCAAGGCTGACTACAAGCACCTCACTTTAGGCCACGGCTTTTGCAAACCCATTTTACTCCCCGGCACTACAAACAGAAGTCAGTGCCGGATTGGGGAGGACACAGCAAGTTCACGCACTAACACAACTGCAAAAATATACGCAGGGACAAAGAATTGCAAAATATACATGGCAAAGGAGACAAGAGTTTCACCAAGCTTAAAAAAGCCTCTTTGGGCCATTTTTAATTATAAATCATACTCAACTTAAAACACTGATGTGTTTAGAAATAAAGGAGACGCACACGGCGCCTCTCCATAGGTTGCATATCTTTGATGGCTTCAGCTCTACTGAAGCCATCAAAGATATGCAACCTATGGAGAGGTGCCACGATAGTGCAAAATTACTTGAAAATGCTACAGAAATCGCGTAGATTAGCGCTTTGAAAAGGGTGGGAATGCCTGCACTGCCCATCGTGCCAAACTGGTATTTTCAAATCAGCAACAATTATTGACAAAGCGTGGCTAACGGTTTTAGTACCAGCAGGACAAGGGGAAAATACACAGATTTAAATATGGAAAGGCAACCAGAAGAAGTTTACCTTCGGAGAACACTTGAAATGCATGCCAGGTACTGGGAGTGTAGTCACATACATTGTAATACACCGATACAGGTATAGTGTGCCAACTATACAGAAAAATCTTCTGCCAATTATAGACCTAGAAGGGGAAAAGAAAATAAAAACAAGGAAGTCACTCAATGCAAACAAAACATGCAGTGGTAAATAAAATTAACTACCAAATGTTCTCAACGATTCTGACACTTGTGGCAGTATCAGCTCACACCAGAGAATACTGAACTATTTTACAAATATTTCCCCACTTCACAGGTCAGAAACACAAGAGCTCCTCAACTAACACTACTTGCGAAGGTGACTACAGGAAATATAAGGATTAGCACACAAAAGCCCGTGCAGATTTAGTGCTGAAGACATTAAAACATTTCAGGACCCACACTCCTCCATTGGCTTTGAGCAGTCACTGATTTCCTATTCAAGGCAGGGGATAAAGTTACAGTATTTTCATTTTAAGATGAAAAGGAGTAAGTTTATTTCGGCTGCCACACACATTGAGTAATTACAAAGAGCTGCTTGAGAAGAAATAGCTCCTACGGCCCAAACGAGTGAGCACACATCTTTCCTGAGCAGCAGGCAAGAGGAAGCAACGCACATCAGCAACAAAACCTCCAAAATGTGAATCCAGAACGGCACTGGCTATGACACAGGGTGTTCTCACAGGAAGCCACTCTCAAAGCACGCAGCCATAGGATGTTGAGATTCTGGAGCGTGTTCAGAGAAGAGCCACAAGGATGGGGAGGGCTCTGGAGAACAAGCCTGATGAGGAGCGGCTGAGGGAACTGGGCTTGTTTAGCCTGGAGAAGAGAAGGCTGAGGGGAGACCTCATCACCACCTACAACTGCCTCAAGGGAGGTTGTGGAGAGGTGGGTGCTGGGCTCTTCTCCCAGGTGATGGGGATAGAACAAGGGGAAACGGCACCAAGCTGTGCCAAGGGAGGTTCAGGTTAGAGATAAGGAGGAAGTTCTTTACTGAGAGGGTCGTCAGAAGCTGGAACAGGCTACCCAGGGAGGTGGTGGAGTCACCATCCCTGGATGTGTTTAAGGAGCGGGTAGACGAGGGACTCAAGGATATGGTTTAGGGGGTAGACAGGAACGGTTGGACGTGATGATCTCAGAGGGCTTTTCCAACCCAGCGATTCTGTGATTCTGTGATAACATAGTTGCAAAGGTTTATTCTTTGAGGGGTGCCAGTGGATTGGCAGATGCAATTTTGGGGTACCAGGACGCCGTTCTGCACAGCAAGAGCATCCAGGGTACCGAGCTGCAGCGTTGACTCGGTAGCGACATCCTGCCCCCAAACCGGCTCCTTGGGTCTCACTGCTACGTTCCAGCTAACAACATCACAAGGAAAGAGCTGCGGCAATTAAAGCCCTCCTGGCACATCCCTCAAATCACCCATCCAACCTCACACAGAGCTCGGCAGAGAAACCGCCACCAAGGTTACAGAAATCAAGGGCAAATCCAGGTCCAGCAGTTGGTGACCTTAACCACATCGACCCTTTGTGTCCTGCTGGTTACAGCTCCTGTTGGCTTTGGCCGAGTTTAAATCCTTGTTATTTGCAATTATAATCACTTGGGGAATACAAGGGTTACAACACAAGCTGCAAGTTCTGGCATTCATTTGGGGCTATTTTGAAGCAATCATTTTTTTAAAAAGTAGTATTTCTATCAAGCCAAGCTCTTTCAAAGCTCAGAATTTGTCATCTTTTTTATTTTTAATAGCTTTTGGCAGAGTTATTAAACTCCAGTGCTCCACTCTCGGAGGAGTATGACTTTGCAGTGCCAGATCAATAACAACCTGAGTGTCTTAATTTCTCAGGAAAGCTTCAGCTGTAAGAGTGTAAATGGACTTTGAACTCCAGTGAAAACACTGCTACTGAAACAGAGTATTTCATAATTTTTTCCTTCCCCCTCCTGGTATAAAATGGACAAAGCTGAGAGTTTAAATTTATATTTCATTAATGTAGCTCCATGCACTGAAATTTAAGAGTCAAAGGCACTGGGCCATTAGGGCAGTGGTTTCCCCCTCCGTATGAGGGATTTTTTCTCTCAGAAGCACGATCCAATAAAGATCTCACACTTGTGTCTGGCTTTATAACCAGACATGAACTTGCTTTTCTTTATAACCTCGCATGAAGACAAACAGGGGTGAAGGGGACTAAGGACTGACTGCATTTCAAGACAGAGAAGAAACGGCAGTGTTTAATCAAGCACTTTCTTTTTTTAATTGAAATTACCCACAAACCTCCTTGGTTTAGCTGGATTTAGCACATTTCGGCTTAGGAAAGTCTGTGTCAAAGTGCTCTGTACTATATTTTCAAAAAAAATTTAAAATTAAAAGCCTCATACTTTCCTTTTCCAAAAGGATTTACGTGTGTGTGGTTATAAGCCAGCTAGCGAGTGCAACCTTGAAGCTTATTCCCGGCCAACTTTTATTACAACCACCCTGGGGCTTCACCTGATGCGGGCAGCAAGCACGCTGCTTTTTCCATCCCATGGGCACGCGGGCTGAGTCAGATGGCCAAAACCCAGCACTGCACCTCTCCCACAGCATCTGGGAATGCTTCCCAGAGACGTTAATTCTGCCTCAGCGGCTCGCCTGGACTCCTCGAGCTCCTTGCGGCATCTGGGGAGAAAAGCTTGGGCAGTCCGCCGTGCCCAGCCAAGATCTGCACACCAACCCTGCTCCTCTGTCTGCTGAGGAACCAACCCGACCCGGCGCCACCGAGACCAGTCCATAGGGACACCCAAACAAAGCTGCCACTGATTTCCTTATTCCGAATCGAGTACCTTGCCCTGAAGGCAGCCAGAAACTCCAGTCTCTACCTGAAGGTAAAATTTATTTTCAGGCAAGGAAGCAGTGCCAGGGGCCAAGGGAAACCCTGCACTGCGGTTAGCTGGACAGATGCACCCAACATCCTCTTCCATTTTGGCCCCAGCTCTGCAGTCCAAAGACACACAGGGGTCCTATTCAATGTCACTGCGCAATCCCTGGACTAAATAAGGAAGATCTGAGTGATCAGCATCATGAATGACACATCTCTATTGTCCTTCATGGCCTGGGACAACAGCAGGCTCAGCCTGGATGAAATGATTGGCAAATAGGAATCTCACTGCTCGACAAAGCAGTGTTTCAAAAAGTCTGAAACCATGAAGCTGCCTCCTTCGGTCGAAGGTTCAACCCAGCCACTGGCTGCAATTCAGCTCAAGGGAAACAACGCTGCTGTTTCACCACTGACACTGAGCTTGCACTTGGAGACATCCATGAATGGTATCTCTCCCATCTGAGCAGGCGAGGAACCAGATCTCACCCTGCCCAGCAATCACCTGGCCTCAGGTCTTATCTTCAGATCTCGAATGGAGGTGGCAATGGCCACCCCCGACACCACCAGAGGTCAGAGAGGTGAGGAAGGTCTAGCTGGCTTAACTCCCTCTCTTTATTCTTAAATTAAGTTTAAGGGAGGTGATAACCCATGTCACAAAAGCAATTCAGCTCTCTTTATAGCACTTAGTGGTTCACTATTTAAAGCCACAAGAATGAGGTCGACCAGATAAAGCCACCTCACTGGGCTCCTGTTCCTGTGAGCATCTCTCCTGCTCTTCCCTTTCTGCTGCTCACTGACAGCTTGGGCCTCTCCGACTTTGATACCTCTGCTGACTGACAAAAAAGATGCCTATTGGTCTCCAAAGCACTATGTGACCAGTGAACAGAAATCTCTGCGACTCCTGACATCTTCCCCTAACACCAGGAAGTGTCCTTAAGCAAGTAAAAATGAACACAAAGCAAACGGGGACAGGGTCTGTGTGGGGAAACCTTCACACCTATCAGCGCTACCAACACACTTTATCATCAAGGCACCCTGTGCCTTCCTGCTTCAAAATCTCCAAGGACCTTAGGGATTCTGGTGTTCTTAACTGAGACTCTTAACTGTTCTTAACTGCACAGCTCCATGGGTGTTTGATCCCTCATACTGCCCTATTAACCTGACACCCATTCTTGAGAGCTATACCATGTCACCTTCTCTAGGTGCTTCCCTTGGTTTTCAACAACGTTTACGCTCAGAGCCCCTAAGAAAGTTAATGGTCGCCCGTGTTCACTGTAGGCAGCTGGAGCAGTGAGGAGAGGAGCAGGAGTGCATTGATAGCACCGCAGCTACCAACAGAGGAGTTATGGCCCATAGCCATAAACAAGAGATCAAACCAGAGTTAACCCTTCCTTCTATACATGAGCACACATAGAAACAAAATAAAGCCAACAAAAATTGCCAAAAAACCCCCAAACAATTTCAGGACTGTAAAAACTACGGAATAACACTACATCAACCATTCTAGAAACTTTCCTTTAAGGAACGCCACCTGTGTAAAAGCGTACAACCATTTCCAAATTTTTCCTGATAAAATACTTCAAGGAGAATAAAGGAGCAGAAAAGATGACTCATCTCAGTCTTGCGGATTACTTAAACGTCTGCCACATTCCTACAGAAATCCACAGCTCTGGTGCACAAGGGTACCCTGGCCTCAGCTTAGCAATTCACTTTTCAAGCGGCCTGTACCTTATAGAAGCTGGTGAAGCACACGCTTAAGTTTAAATTGTAAAGTTTTTGGCCATTATAAGGGCAAGCGATCCATTGACCTCTGGTTTTATCTCTTTTAGAAAGGGAAACCTGTAATTCCAAAGCCATTACAAAGCCCAGTGAACCGAAGGATCTTATATTTCACATGGTGGGGCCCCAATTCTGTACTTTCCTCAGTTTTCTACATAGGAGTTACAAAAAAAGAGCCAGCAAACAGGTAAAGAATGAGATAACCACTAACACCTTGCTAATTATTTGCATACCTATGCTTTTCACAGTTGGTGATCAGATTTTGACACGCTTTGTGTTTGACATTACCTGTCCCATCTAACATCAAGCAGAAAATGTACTTCAAAACTTTTTTCACGCAGCTCAGTTTTAGCATTTAGTTTCAGTTTAGGTGCACAGGCTATACCACCGCCTGCTGGTTTTGTCCCAAGAGCACCACAATCTTCACAGAATCACAGAATGGCTCGGTTGGAAAAGCCCTCTGAGATCATCACGTCCAACCGCTCCTGTCTACCCCCTAAACCATATCCTTAAGTACCTCATCTACCCGCTCTTTAAACACATCCAGGGATGGTGACTCCACCACCTCCCTGGGCAGCCTGTGCCAGCTTCTGACGACCCTCTCAGGAAAGAACTTCCTCCTTCTCTCTAACCTGAACCTCCCTTGGCACAGCTTGGTGCCGTTTCCCCTTGTTCTATCCCCCATCACCTGGGAGCAGAGACCAGCACCCACCTCTCCACAAGCTCCCTTGAGGCAGTTGTAGGTGGTGATGAGGTCTCCCCTCAGCCTTCTCTTCTCCAGGCTAAACAAGCCCAGTTCCCTCAGCCGCTCCTCATCAGGCTTGTTCTCCAGAGCCCTCACCTTCTCTGAGACGAAGAGCCTCTTAGGGGAGGTCTTTACATCAGGCAAACTACAGAGACAGTAAATCAGTCCCAGGTTGGTTCGCAGCTGCGATCACAACAGGGTGAGCTGTGCTTCCTCTACACAGACGGGACAGTAAACAGAATTAAGAACATCACTGCACCCAGTCCATGGCTTTTCACACATGGAAAGGGTTCAAATTAACCACGCAGGCAAACACCACCAGGGTTATTTCTTAGTTTCTTGGGTAGCAGCTGGACTGAACTTCTCCCTTTTGCACAAGCAGCCCATACAAACTGCAGTTTGCCCGTGGTACGGTATCTGTTTCAGCTTGGGAAACCAAGCTCAAAAAGATCACACTTCATTTTATTTGGATGTAAACCAGCATCTGACCTCCAAAAGCTGTCAGAAGTATACCCTAGCACTCGGTTTTCAAAAGGTTTTACTTACTTGTATTTTAAGAGCAGCCACTGAACAAACCACAGTCCTACAAGGATCATGCCGTTGATTTCACAAATAGAAAAAGCCCACTGCACCCGATCAAAACGATCGAAAAATGCATCTGGCAGGGGAGGCTGCACCTCCTTGGGAGGCACTCGTTCATGAACGACTGAGATAGTCACTGTGGTAAAGACGAAACAAAAAAGTGCATAAATAAAAGCCAGGATAGTCTTGCCCCATTCCGCGGGATACTGCGAGCGCTCTGGCTCTGGCATGGGGATCTTTATCATTTCCTTCTTATACCCATTTGGCATCCCGTTCAGTTTCAGTTTACTGCTAAAGCCGTTCTCGTGCGTGGCGTTGCCGACACGGATGTGCCCGTTGACGTGCCCGTTTTTGTGAGCCTCCATGTGGTGAGCCATTTTTAAAGTTTCGATCATGTGCAATAGCCGCTGGCCGCTGTCAGAAGACACCCGGGAGAGAGGCGTCTTCTTAAAATCCTCCTCCGTGAGGTTGATCAAATCCTGCCCGGTGAAGCTCTTCAAGGGCTCACAATACTCCGGCACAGCATTTTCCGTTAACCAAGTCGTCACCTCTTCGGGCGACCACAGCACCACTTCTTTCATCTCGCCAGGCAGCCGGGGCACAGTCTGACATGGATTTTAAACCAGGCAGCAGTCACTGTGACTCCAGCGTGTCGGAAAGCTCCTCCTTGGCTTCATCTTGTCTGGGGAAGCAGCTTGGCGAGAGGCAAGTCCCGGCCCTTACCATTGGATACAAGCGTCCAGGCACTGGGGCGAACATAGGAACCGCTTCACTTCATATTCGTGTTGGCATTCTTCTTCCTGGGGAGGAGAAAACCCCCAAAGCAGTCATTAGGACAAGAGTTACCACCAGCTTGCAATTCACATTTAAAGACAAAATTACCACAAAAGAATAGGCATGGAAAAGACAAAATGGTCTGAGCTCTAGCTTTCTACACACAGCACTGTCCTTCCTGAGCTTGTGACTGCTTTTTCAAGAGTTTTAATAGCTCTGGATTTGTAGGATTTTAAACGCCACTGCAGCTGTGGGAAGGACTCCTTCCTGCTCTATTATTTGCTAAGTTTTCTATTACTATGCAGCTCTGCTCCATAACCGGTACCCAAACTCCTCTTAAAATCACACTACTAATGGATTTAAGCATCTACAGAGCAAATCTTTAGTGCTGTCCACGTCACAAATCCTGTCCTTCCCTTACAGACCGTTATCCGAATGCAATGCGTTGTATCTAGTTACTGAATGGGAAGCCTGGTTTTTGTTCTGCAAGGCAAAAATATGCAGTGTAACGGAGAAAATGCTTTTCTACAGGTCAGCAACACAACAGAAATGATGTAGATAAGCAAGGTTATACTCTCTGGGCCAAAGCACCGATAGGAAAAACCAACAGCTGAACAGGTTAAGGTGAAAATACACCAAAGCACTCAGGTTTGCAGGGCTCTAGCAGGTATTTAGCAGCTCTTCAAGGTAAATTCTACAGTTTCCATGGTATATTGCTCCAAGTCAAATATATGTTTGTCATCAGCTACAAAAAGAACCAGCAGAAAAGTGAAACGTTGTGGGGGGAACTAAGCAACAAACTTCTACATCAAATTAATTCTAAAAATAGCTTAAAACGCTTAGAAAAGTGGATCAGTTCCCATACAAAAATTACAGGAAAACAGATGTTAGGTGCTGGAACCTCTTCCTGCATCTTTGAGTCACGAGCAGCAAAATCCACTGCAGGAGGTGGCAACCACATGGCAGCAAACGCCACCAGCAAAGTCCCAGGTCCGAGATGTTTATTCAACGAACAAAGAAATGGTCCTCCCCAGAGCAAAGACAGGAGAACAGCAAGAACCCTGTCTCCCATCCCACAGACCAAGTCTCTCCCGCAGGAGGCTGCGGCACCAGAACCACAGAGAAAGCAACAGCACAGGTGAAAAACACTTCATGTTTTCAAAAGCCGTATCATGCCTTTATCAGTTTAAAGAATATTTTTAGCCTATTACAAGTCAGCAGATGTTTGCGTTCCATTGCAGGGAGCAAAGTTGCCACCGACGAAAACCAAAATAATCTACACTGCTGGCACAACGTGAGCAGAAGCGGCACAAAACAGATACAGAGAGACGCTCCTGTGCAAAACATGACCATGCTGCACACACATCTATCTTTTGACCTCTAAACCGAGCAAGAAACACAAGGTGCAGTTTGTAATCTGCTTCTCCATGGAATGAAGCAGGTCTGGTGACTGAGAAAAGAAAATGCCAGTACTTTGACAGCACTTTGTGTATGCAACCTCTCACTCACTGGGCACGTTGTGCATATGCAGGTATTTAAATCTGTGGAGCAAACAGGGATGAAGTCACTTGGGAAATTAAACAGCAGAAGAGAGGATAGAGCTCTGCTTTCTTTGGTTTTCTCCCCAGTGGGATTATATGCACTGAGGAAGGCTTTTAGCCACATCTCGCTCCATTATTCCAGCTGGGTTTAACCAGTCAGTATTGACTCACACAGCTCTGGCAGGGGTTGGACTGGATGATCTTTCAAGATCCCTTCCAACTCCTAATATTCTGTGATTCTGAGTTCTGAACACAGAGGAAAGAAAAAGGATGGATTGAATTATGCATGGTAACCCACATTAGAAACTCCTGCAAGACTGACCGAAGGAGAGCAGCTTGGCTCTCCGCTATACTCACTGTAGCTGCAGACCAAGGAGATGGAAAAACCATCACCTTTTTGATGTCCATCCTATTTCAGTCTCAAGTGATGCAGCAGTAATTCACGACTCAGGGAACTGGTGTTTACATGAAGGAAAACGCACACGTGCTTTCACATTTGTCCTTGGGCTGAAGCTCATGCTGGAACCCATGCGGTGCGGCACCAGAAACTGTGCAGCATCAAACTGGCAACTAACACTGACAAATATCTTTCTCTACTGGCTTGTTTCCAAGAATAGCAGCTTACTTGATAAATAAAGGTGATAAACTTGATAAAGCTGAAGTTATTTACTTTAAAATCCATTCACAATATCTGGGCTCTCAGTCTGCAGCAGGACTTCATTTTCCCGTGCCAAGTTAACAGGTACATCAGCTGCCTCTCCGAGTTTTGCTTTGCCACTTTAGCACAGATTTGGGGTCGCTGAAGCACACCTTGTGCTCCACAAGGTGGGGCAATATTAAACCTTTTTGGTTTAAATGCTGGAATGAGTGAGGCCGTTTCCCAAACCACTCAGAGAGCTGGACCTTTAACCATTACCCTCCCAATACCCCAGCCCTTCTGCCCAGCCCCTGACAACAAACCACAGGCCTCCTGCATGCTTAAGGATCCCAGGGACACTGAATACAACACCAAGGGCTGCTTTTATCACTGCACAAGAGGCTGTTGCCAACCTCCAAATTACATCTCCCTACTTAACATGCACATACATCTCCTCCTGCCATGGCTAAGCTACGAGATTTTAACATGAGCTTCACGCAGAGCCTAAAGGAACAGAAATCTGTTGCTAGCTCCAAATACTACTCTGATACTGGCACGAGAGTCAAGGACAGGGAACTGCTGGAGAGAGTCCAGCGTAGGGCTACAAAGATGATCGAGGGAGTGGAGCATCTCCCTTCTGAGGAGCGGCTGAGGGAGCTGGGGCTCTTTAGTTTGCAGAAGAGGAGACTGAGGGGAGACCTCATTCATGGTTATAAATATTTAAAGGGTGAGTGTCACGAGGATGGAGCCAGGCTCTTCTCGGTGACAAACAATGATAGGACAAGGGGTAACGGACACAAACTGGAACACAGGAGGGTCCACTTCAATTGGAGAAGAAACTTCTTCTCAGTGAGGGTGACAGAGCCCTGGCCCAGGCTGCCCAGAGAGGTTGTGGAGTCTCCTTCTCTGCAGACATTCAAAACCCGCCTGGACGCCTTCCTGTGTAACCTCATCTGGGTGTTCCTGCTCCGGCAGGGGGACTGGACTGGATGAGCTTTTGAGGTCCCTTCCATTCCCTAACGTTCTGGGATTCTGTGTAATATGCTGGTGTAACTCTGCAGTATGTGGCCTGGCAGTGATACAAGAAATAGTGAACGTGTGTGTCTTGCAGGAAAACTGCAGGGGTTAGCAATACGTCCAAAACCTACAGTCGATCCAGAAACCTCCTTGTGCCTCAGACTAACCATCAGTGATGCTATTAAGAGGTACCCTGCAGAACAATAAAGATTGCCCAAGTCCTATTTTTGTGTCTTGACAGACTATGAAACACAAATGTGTCTTTTTAAGACCCTTTGTTGGTTTTAAAAATGAGAAATACTCTCTCACACGCAGGCACACACCTTCACCCCGTCTCATCCTCTGCAGACAGGTGGACAAGGACAGCGTGGGGTTCACCATGGAGCAAGAAGCTACCGAGCAGAAAGCTGCAGTCCTCAGAGATGGCGTTTCTGGCCAGTGCTGTCACAACACCAGTGTGTAAATCACTAGCAAGCACCTTTTGTAAAAGCAGAGTAATTGATACTCATGGGAAGAAGGCTTAGAGGAAACAGAACACTCTGCCAAGGATGCAGGCCACAGAGTCGATTTCTTTGAGAGCTAAAATGAGATAAAACAACTCAAATTTCTAACACACACCTATCATTCAAACCTCGATTTCACAGCCTAACGTGGGAGGAATAGACAAAAAAGCTTCTTTACTAACACCTTCCAGCTTGTCACATACAAAATACCTCCTAGTTTTCTGATGTGTTCATGAAAGCTTGACTGGGTGAGGTTCACAGAAGCGATCATGGAGACCAATAGCACTCACTGGTCCTGCTGCTCCCACAGAAGGTCTTCTCCTGCCCACAAAAGCCGAAGAGAGAAGGTGGAGATGGGCACTGGCTGTTGTCAGGCCGTCTCCACTGGTTCAGCTTGGTCCCACTGCCCAGCAAGGCATGTGTCCACCCCCCAGCCTCTCCAGCTCTGATACAGGTTGGTACCCAGGGCCAGGCATCTAAAATGCTCCCTCCATCCACAGCAGGTCTGCTTCATTAAGAAGCGTGTATCTGAGAAGGAACTATAAATAACAATGCAATTATCATAATAATACCAACTGCACGGTGATAACGATGCTGTGTAAAACCAGCATCTCAAAATAGCCACACCACAAGACCAAGCAGGATGAAATAACTTCAGCAAGGGCTCCAGGCCCCACCTCCTCGTGCTTACATGACCTTTTTCCCCTGTTCCCAGCAAACATTAAAGTGCTAATTGCAACCTTTCAGATCCTATTCCACTGTCCCGACCGAGTATTTCCCACCACCCCTTCAATCTGCCTGTACGACACCATGACCACAGCCACCAGGGGGTTAAACAAGTACTTGAGAGCACGCTCTGTAACCCTGCATACCAAGATCTGTTCTTCTGCATCACTTTGCAGAGATGCAGTTGGGCATAAGGACCAGAGAATCCACCTCTGGTTGAAGGACAAGATAATCAGCAATAAAATCATCGGCCGCCTACACCTCCACACTTGACCTGGGTGGCCAAGGTGAAGGAAACTCTGTATTTTTCTGTCTCTGGGTCTGCTTAGAGGATAACCAAGCACTCACATTGGACATCACCATCTCAGATTTCACAGAATCATTAAGGCTGGAAAAGACCATCAGATCATCCAGTTCAACCGTCAACCCAACACCACCATGCCCACTAAACCATGTCCTGAAGTGCCACATCCACATGTTTTCTGAACACCTCCAGGGATGGTGACTCCA